CACCTGAATTCAAGTTTTTGTTGTTGTTGTTGTTGTTTATTTGGGCCACATCGGTGATGTTCAGTGGTTACTCTTGACTCTCCACTCCAATTACTCTCCAATTACTCCTGACAGAGGTCACAGGATCTTACAGGATGCCAGGGATCAAATCTATGTTGGCCATATGCAAGGAAAGTGCTCTATCCTCTGTACATCCCCCAAGGATACTCATGGATTTTCTTTGGGAGACTCATCACAGCCCTTTTGTCCTTAGCAACCCCAGAGAACACACAGCTATGGCATTTTCAGGGGACATATGAACAGTGAAATCACCAGCCAACAATTTTAAAAAATGTTAGAAATGTGGCATGAAACAGACCATGGAAAGGACACTGTGTCCAGTACGAGCCATATCCAGAAGGCAGAACCTCCATTGCCTTGTTTGACCTTCCCTGGGAATGAGCCTGCAATGGGAGTGATTGAAATTTTTTACTGCTCTGCACTGTGAATGACTGTAAAAGCAATTCTGAATACTGCTCTGGGGATCACAAATCCACGAGGCTGTTTTAGAGAAGTTACAGTGGGACTGTCTCCTGCCCTCTTATGCCCTCGTGTTCATACTTTGCTGTGGACAATTGCTCTAGAAGAAAATACATTTCCAGGCTTACTGGTTGTAAGGTTATACATACAGCACTGCTCTTAGAGGATTATTACTCACCTCTGGCTGTGTAACCATGGCCAAGTGGCTGAGTCTATCAAGGCCATGTCTCAACTGCAGGCTGGAGTTTATTATCACAGTGAACTATGACTAGCTTTAAATATAACAGGATGAATTTACAGCCTTTGAGAATCTTGAGTGCAAGATGTGTGGTTGCTTCTGATGTTTTATTTTTGCATCACCGTCCCAACCTTTAGTTATTCTCTAATTCTAGAACTCTCCTCTGTGATCGACAGGGTCACACATCTCAGGGAAGTCATCTTTGGGGTCATGAGTCCTGAGCAGGAGATTCTGACCCTAAGTCATTGAGGCAGGCAGGCACAAGTATGGGAGACAAAAAGAAGGTCGGGAAATGCCAACTGTCTACTACAACTCCATCAGTTTAAAGTCTCCATTTCTTCTCAGCAAATGTCTTTTCTTTATCCGTGGGGCCAAGAACATATGTGGCAGATGATTTTGGCAGCTCTGAAAGTCAGGATTGGAGAAGAGTGACTCACAATTTCTGACGCTGCACGTGTGAAATCTTTCAAGAAAATTTGGAGGCAGGAAGGTCCACAGAATTTTTGGATGATGCTCTCAATCACTTTTCTATTATACTGGTTAAAAAAGAGCTGATTATTTGCTTCTCTGGCCTTTAAAAACTGTGTTTTTCAAAGGAGCATAAACTTGACCAAAAGGGAATTATTACTAAAAAGAAGAGAAAGAAGGTAGTATTTGTAGAGTCTTGTTTTGGTTTTTAATCTAAACCATTTTGGTTTTGGTTTGGGAGCTACACCTGGCTAAATATTGGCTCTATGATCAGTGGTGACTCCTAGTGGGCTTAAGAGACCATTAGGTGCCCTGCCTGCTATACTTTTTTTCCAGCCCCAATCATCCTAACCATCCCATTTTTCAATAACCCTGTAATGTAGGTTCTATCCACTCTATGAAATGTTTTCAAGTATTACACAGCTCAGAGACATTACTGACACAGGGTAAGAGTTCTTTGTCTACACCATACGCCTTTTTAAAAAACTGAAAAGAGCTATACAATTCAGCTCTGATAAAAATTAAAGTATCAGACTAGATCAGGTGCATTCAGTATGGTAGGTATTGCAAGCCAAAATGTCCAAAAGGGGGGTAGGAGAGAGAGAGAGAGAGAGAGAGAGAGAGAGAGAGAGAGAGAGAGAGAGAGAGAGAGAGAGAGGTGTCTTTTAGCACTGTATGACTGAAACCTGACCATGAACAGATTTGTAACTGTGTATCTCACAGTGATTCAATTTAAAAAAAGTTAAAGTAACATAAAGTATGGGAGGCAAGGACATAACTCCTGTTAAAATAAAACACGAAGATTCATTCTATCCATCTCTGTAGCTGATGGTGTACACTATGAGAGTTCTTATTAGAAAATACATGGCACCTGACATGGCTGCAATAAGACAGCAAATTAGGGTTGTACATATGCAACTGTTTGTCTGATGATCCAAGAACAACATGGAGGCAGGTACCTGCCCAGACAGCTTCATTCAGCAAGTTCTCTTTCGAAGGAAATATTTTAAAGAAACAAAGTAAGGAGTCCAGCAGAGCCCGTGTTACCCCTGTAAAAGGGCACCAGAACTGAGCTTTTCTCATCCCACATTGCAGCGATAAAGACTGTGTATGGTCAGTGGAAATCCGTGAAGCGAGAGAGGGCTAGTATGGGGAGAAAACGTGAATTCAGGGGAGTGGGACTTGGAGATGATCTTCTTGGGCTGCTGGCTTTGATCTCAGACAGACAGGGGAACAAAGTTTTGTTCCCTTGGGAGACCAAAGCTCCCCCCAGCACCACCACTCAGAAAGCAAAAGGATACCAGCAAGTCCTGCCACCGAAACCAGAGGTATGAGGAGCCAGAAGAGGTAGTTACAAGCTATGTGGGATTCATTTCCACTTCCTCCAGAGTTCAGTTTAAATCCTGGACTCACCACTTAGTGACAACATAACCTTGAGCAAAGCATTTAAACTTTGTGGAATCCCATCTCCCTGTTTGTAAAATGGGGAGAACACCTCCCTTGGCATGTCTGGGAGAGGATTAAAAGGTATCACTTCCAGGGCACAGCAGGCAGCACATGGCAGACTCTGAATAAATAGGAGTTATTATTCTGTATCATTGTGATTATACACAATCCTGGTGTTGTTAACATCACCAATGCTATAATTTGAAACACATTTATTCTTTGCATTATACAAACTAGTTCAAAGCCTGTTTTTCAAATATATTATCTAGTTTGAGCTTTAAAAAAATTTTTTTAAAGCCCCGTATATGTTCTGCTCTGCTTATCAAAGGCTCTCCAAGAGCTTACCCATGGGCAAGTCAATTACACAGGATACTGTTTTGCCTTCTATTATTCTTCTGGAACCACATTCCATGTGGTAATAGGTCAATTTCTTAACTTCCTCTTTCCTTCTACCACATTCCATACTCCAAAAGAGATGCCAGTTCAGTTTTAACTTTCCTTTTGGAAGCAAAATGTCATCTTTGTTTTAAAAGTTATTTAAACAATTGTATGTTCTTTTAGTACCCTCCAACTCTGATCCAGAGAGGAAAGGACCAAAAATGATTACTGGTTCTGCCAGAATCCCCCCACCGGGCGCGGTGACTTTGTAATGAACTACGCATCCATAAACGGTTGACTCTTTGATCTCTGGCTGCTTGTACAAGTCCAAAGAGAAAGGCATTCCAGTGCAAACCACACAAAGAGAGTAACATAGGTTATTTATGAGGGCCCACTAACTCTAAGTTTAGCCTGGGCTCTTTCAAGATTCAAATACACACATCATCTTGACTGCCAAATCTGCTCCCTCCCCTCTGGTGTCTAATGGGCTCGAGCAGAGGAATGTCTGATCCCTGGCTTCTCCCTGGGGTGGGAAAGGTAGCTGGCTTGGCAGAGAGACAGACACAACAGTATTTATAGAGACAGTAGAAAATTGACCCCATATGCCTACAAAGGGAAATTGGAATAAATCACCAGGAGCTAAGAGGATTCCTGAACTCCTTTTCTGACGCTAGTTGAGCTTCTGACTGAGCTCTCTAACTGCACAAACTCCAGCATCCATGTGTCCTTTTATTTGCAGAGATTCCTCGCTGTCACTGTTACTTTACACAGAGAGGAAAAAGGCCCCTCTTTGCTTCCTTTAATTCAGAAGCAGTTTTGAACACTTGACATTTGCTTTGCACTGCAAACTTTCTGCATCAGAGCAGGGTGCAAACATGGAAGCCATGAATTACTGAGTCTGAAGTTGTGGACAGTGTCTCTGGAAATGTGACGTGTGGGTGCTCTGTAGTGTGACTTGGTGTGAATTCTCAGTGCTCATGAGAGTTCTGTTTTTCTTCTTCTCTGCCTCTGGATCAAGCGCAATATTTTCTGTTCTGTTTTTATTTGAACCACACCTGGAGGTGCACAGGGATTACTCTTGGCTCTGCAAACAGGGATCATTCCTGGCAGTGGTCAGGGGATCCTCTTTGGTGCTGGGAATGGAACCCAGGCCAGCCATATACAAGGCAAACACCCTACCTGTTGTACTATTGCTCCAGCCTCTCAAATAGCAACATCTTACAATGTCAGAATATGAGGGCTGTGTGGGGACCTCTATAATGGGAGAAAACTCAAAATGGGAATGACTTTTAACAGTGCATATATCAAAGGAGTAGATTTAGCATCAGAATTTGAGCCTAGTGAAGAAGACTAAAGCTGGGGGACAGTTTGGTCATTCCATCATCCCTGACACTCTAGCAGGTTGACTGAGCAAAGCAAAAAGACCTCAATGAGAAAGACTAACTGACTTTGCAACCTTTCTGGGAACCTAGGACCTGGATCTGAACTGTATTATGAGCAGCTGTAAAAGGATGTGCACGTCTGATCCCCTTCATCTATGCCTATGCTCCATGGACACAGTCATCAGATACCTACCTAAACCCACATACTGTTTGCTAACCATTCATCTTTATTCTCTTATTCTTTAGCTATGATGGTGGATTCAAGCCAGAATATCAGTACAAAGACAGGCACAGAAGTGATTACAGCCTGGGATTGTCAACTGACCACAAGCCCAAAGAAAGAGTGGTTAGGAAATAAAGCCCAAACCAAACAGCTGCATAACTGAATACATATCAAAGTGGCAAGAGAGAGAGCATGGCTCAACTAAAACATTTTGTTCAACTGAACTCAGAGAATCAACAGAAGCCAAGTTTTATAGCAAGGTCATAAGCTCATAATTTATTCAGTGTCAAGACGATGGATGCCCATTTTGTGATTTAATAAGAAAATAAAACCAAATAGGCCTTACCTAAAGAAAATGAGGTGTGCGATAAGCAACAGCGTCTTTGGGGGAAGTTCTGGATTGGAGTTCCAGCTCCGCCTCTGGGACACAGAGAGGAGCCAGAGTAATCAGTACACACTCAGCACCTCGTTCTCTCCCTCTGAAAAACACAAATGATAATGTCATTGTTTTCACTAAGGAACAATGCTGAGTCATTAGAAATTCATTGCTGATTAAAATCACCAGAAAAATGGAGTTAAATACACATGTAAGTTGCAGCACAGAATATTCAGCTTGTAATTCCATATGCCTTGAGACAAGGGGCCCGAACTTAGAGGTGTCAACTCCCCTTTTACCACCAAAGCTATATACAATAAAGAAAGGTAAACATGCTAAGTTAGACCAGCCATGAAAATAAGAGCAAGCATATGTTTCTGGGGCAGAAGGAAGTCAGGAGAAGCCAACTAAGAAGCAGAGAGGCAGAATAAAAGGCCCAAGCATCTGATTCGTCACTCTGCTTCTGTTGTGGGAGAGAGAGCAGCTGGGATTGCTCTATCATTTGATGAGCTTGCCCCCAGAGATGCTGAAATTGAATCAGCTGTGTCCCATGGAATTAAGAGTAGGGAGTGGGTGTGGATAGGCTGGGTTGCTAAAGGAGATTTTAAAATGATAGACACATTCTAGTGGCACCTCTTCTGTGCAGGAAGACTCCATGATCACTGAGGAGTGACAGAAAATTGAACTTGAGACTCAAATGTATCTCATACTCGAGCAACTTGCTGCAGAGATGGCTCTGGACTTTGCAATAGGCCACTTTCGCCGGGGCCACTCCAGATGGAGGCAGGTGCCATCCCTCTACCTGTCCCCTAGGAATTCTGGTGGCCGCTCTCTTCTAGAACTCAGAGAAAAGGTCCGGGTATAGGTGATGGTGGCAGCAAATCCCAGGCCTCATAGGACAGGGGAGGAGTTGACCCTTCTCCTTCCCCCCACCCCGATGGGACTCTGAGATGATGCCCAAATATGGCCACCGTATACTTAAGCTCCCACATGTCCATGATCCAAAGACACACAACCAAATCTCGGACCCAAGAAACTTGCTTCAGCGATCTCTCCAGACCCCAATTATTAAAATTTTAGAATTCCTAGAGCTTGATTCCTAGACATTATATTGTATCCATAACAATCAATACAGAATGCATTGTCTAGCATTGCCTTTTCAGCAGGTATGAGTTGTGGTGTGACTGATCTTGAAATATCAAAGGTAACCAGAGTAGAGAAAGAGAGTATTGTGCAAAGCGTCTGCCACACAGGTAGGAGGAGGTGTGGAATGGTGCGGGGCGGGGTGCAGGTGGGAGGTCACTGGGTATTTTGGTGGTGGAAAACGTGCACTCGTGAAGGGATGGGTGTTTGAGGATTGTATGATCGAAACTTAAACATGAAAGCTTTGTTACTGTACCTCACAGTGAATCAATAAAAAGGGGAAAAATTGAACTTGACTCTTTTTTCTCAAGCAGGCAGATTTTTCTGTTCCCACAAGAGGAAGTGAGTGGAGGGATTCTGGAGAAATACACACACACACACACACACACACACACACACACACACTAGTAGAAGATTAAAAAAATAGTGGCAATAGAGAAAGCTATATGTGAAAAAGAAAGAAAACTGAGTGTCAATAAAACAGATATGGCAAGAAAACAAGAAATATATGCCCACTAATTTGCTGGACACTAGATATTATATTATTAGAAGTAATGATGATGATGCTGATGACAACATGCTACAATGATGATAATGACAACTGGTGATGATGATTAAACATTGCTTGGATATCTTTGGAAGGTGAGAAATCTCCTAGAATAAAATAGTGGATTATATTCAGGATTAGAGAAATAATATTCAAAGAGCATAGAAGCAAGGGGGTGTTGTTAATTTTGTTGTTATTAAAAATAGTTTTACTGCATTGCTAGCTACTGCTCATTCAGTAGAAGGCAAGGGTGACATCTAATGACAGAGATATGACAACTCTCACTCGGACATGCATGCTGTGGTCAAGAGTGCTGAAAATTACTTGGGTAAGTCCTGAAATATACACTGTGCTAAAAATCATTATAGTATATTAATCATGCTCACATAGTCTTATATGTTTTTAGTAAAAATGAATCAGAAGAGGGTACAAGTAATTTTTATTAGCCAAACACATATAATACATTTCTCCTCTATAATAATTATGGGGGATAGGGTGGAGTAGTGGAAGAACCTTTGCACTATTGGGAAATCCTCTCCAATATTCAGACTAGTTGACAGAACCTTCTAGAGTCACACCATTTTTAAGTCTTTCTTTCAGCTTCCTTCCAACATTTTCCAGGATTCCTTGGAAGGGATCTGTGTAGGGGATCCAGGCTCCTCTTTATATAATATCAAAGGCAGAAAGAAGGAATCATAGAAACATATAATGTAAGGTTCTTCTAATGACTGAGTCTTAGAAATATGACTACAAAATGACCCCAATGAGAGAAATTTAATTTTGCATATCTGAATATACAACATACTATCTGTCATACTGTAACTTAATCTCTCTTTTCTTCTCCTCTTGGAACTATTTCTAGAGTCTAAATAAAGAACCCTAGTCAAATATTAACTTTTGAACTTATACTAAGCTCTGAATTGTTTTAAGTCAGTGGCTAAGCTTTATTAGAATCATGTTTGCTTTTTTGTTCACAGAAAAAAAAAGGAGCTTCAATGTACTGGGAAAGGCTTGTGTTGCTAACAGTATTTCACAGCACATAGAACATGGAGATCTTTTAAAAAGATCTAATTACCCAACCTTTCTCTCCTATTTTTCAGAATTCAATACAGAACATTTTATGTACACCAGTGGGTCACTCCATCCAATCAAACCCAGGTAAAAATTGAAGTTCATGAGAAAGTGTCAGGAGATTCATCCCAAATCAAGGCTTCCTCTGACTATTGGTCCCAGTGTCTTATCTAAACAGCAGGGAGTCGTTCCACAGATGGCATAACTTCCTCCCATGTACCTTCCATCACATCAAAGTGACATTGGGAGAAGACAGACATGAGAGAGAGAAAGAAGGTCCCAGAAATAGGTCCGCTCTTTGTCTCTGGAGAGGGTTATGCATCATCACTGATGTTATAAATTGGAATCTCTTAGAAATCTTTTCTATGCTGATGTTTCATTGGACTCAATTAACGTTTGAGAAAGGTATTCTGGGTTAGGGCTCGACTGCAAAATACTTAAAAGCCAGAGAGCGGATCACAAAGAATGAAAGGCATGAGGGAAAGAACATTCGTTTGAAGACTTGGGTAAGGTTAAAGCCCATGCTCCCCCATTTCTTTTAAACACAGATGGACTTATTCATGTTTGAAGGCAAAGCAGAAAGAGTCAAAAGAGAGGCTAAAATTAAAAACAGTTGAGAGAATATTCCAGGGGGTTAGTAGAGCTGGATCCGGAGCAGGGATTGAGAGACCGGTTTTAGGAAAGAACAATGCTCAGTCCCGCACACCCACTTTGTTCTGGCTTTAAGAAACCTTGAATAAAGGCAGGGATCACTCCAGGTGTGAGCCTGCTTTCCCTTCCTCCACCTCACAGGCCTCCCCACCTCCCTTGCAATTGGATTGTCACTGGGAGGTACAAAAACAGTTAAGACACAGGAATAGATTTCCCCAAAGGAAGGTATGACCATGATACTAAGCCCATTAATTCCTGCCACGATCACAATGCCCCGGAAATGTTGTTGGATGGTTTAGGGTGGGGCCTGCTCAACCCATCAGTCTGAGATGAGATACAAAGTATGTCTGAATTCCAAGAAATGAAATGAATTGTCATGGTAGAGAAGGTTTCACATAGGAAGTATTATTCCAAAGCCTTCCAGCTTGAGTCTCTCCCTTATAACTACCTACCACAAATTATTTTTGTAATAAAAATAAACTCTCAGAACAAACTAATTACATGGGAGAGCAACTTACATTTCATAGTAATTTTCTCCACACACATATGTATATATGTATATATTAAATCAAATATGAATTGACCGAAGTAACTAAGAAAAATGATTAGAAAGCTCTTTATGGAATGTGGATGCAAGACATTTAAGAAAATAAAGCATTTCTTTTGATAATGATTTCAAGTCTACATTTTCTTCCCCACAATAATCATTTCCCCCTTAACTCTGAAGGCACATGTGGTAATCTGAGGGAATATAATTTTTCTCCTGAATTAATGTCAACCTCTTTTCTCATTTTATGATAGGAGCTCTCTGTAAGTTGGGATAAAGCCTTGCTATGTAGCCGCTGCTTCTTAAAAGAAAAGACCACAGAAACTCACTGTAGGTGGGAATTCAGCTCAGGTTTGATAAAATTCCACCAGGAACTTATATTGCTTTAAACTCTCAAGTACCACATGGTTTCTAAGAAACAACAGACGGTTTTGAAGGCTTACTTAGTCTTTATAGTTTTCCTTAAAAAAATTTCAGATGCTTAGGAGTAAACAGGAATAAAATCCCCCCAGTCATCCACCCCCAAACATTCTTCTGCATGAGCCACTTGGGCTGAGTTGGAAATTTCACGCTCTAACTTCCAAACAGCATCTTGTGGATTCTTTTGTATCCTGGGCCCTCAGGCTTCCAGAAACACTTCATTGCTGTGAAGGACCATGATGATCAAAGTCAAACTTCGGTTTGGGGATGTGAGACATTTTAATTTCTTGTGTACTTTGAGATACAATGGATTAGCATTTCTCCCTTTTAGTTTGTCACAGTCTTATTATGGTCTTCCCGGAAAACACAGCTTCTCAGCACTTTGGGGGTATTCTGAACATTTTTCACAGGAACAGCTACTTGTCCCCTGCCATTCCTTCCACCAACAGTGACTGCAAGGCGACTTGCTCCAGGTGCAGTACTAGTCTTTGAGTGCACAATGAAAAAATGAAATCAGCAACCTAGCCCTGCTTTTGTAATCCCCATCTGGTGTGGAGAAATCTGTCCCAGAGGGACAGGAACAAGGGTCCTCTTTTCTCACACAGAAGTGGAGTCCTCCCTACCTATTAAATTATTTGGTCGTAATGATTCCCTAAACCGGCAACTTGTTCTTTATTCTGGGCAAGAAGGAAGAGGACAATAACTGGACTTCGGCTGCCCTTGC